CTCTTTTGATTTCGTCGCCATGTAGAATACCTTTGGAAAGGTACATGTTAGTTTACTCCTTGACTTTATAAATTACAGTTAAGGGTGTTATAAAATAGATCGTAGATTGTAAATCTGGTTAACAACTCTTAAAGATAAATCGAATATATAAATCATATATATCATAAGTTATATATTCAAAACAATAGGGTCAAACCCCAGTTAAAAGACCACGGGGATAAGCACTTGATCTAGGACTGGGCTGTATTGAATGAAGTGGATCTCACAATATTAAGCATCAATATACATGTATTACGATATTTATGGGTATATAACACCTTATTTCTTAAGTATGGTTTCTACTGGATTATGAACCATTTTTCTTTTCTATCTAAAAATAATAAACATATCTTTAAAAAAAAAACATCCAAGTCTGGAATATCATGAAAAAAACATCTGTATCAAATAGTAAGTTATTCGTTTAAATTGTGCAGATGATCATATCAGGATAAAAATTTGACGATGTATCGATGTGATCACTGATATTACTAACGATATATATTCATATACAGTTATTTATCGTGATACCGGTAGCCTACTAACTAGACAATCTGCAAACATGTTAGAAACGTCTTGTACATTTTCCTTCAAATATCCATATTCCTATAATAAGATCATTTCATATCAATTCTTGAATTTTGTGAGACAATATAACAGTAAGCCAGGGATGCATGATATACATGTATTATGTTATGGTATCATGACGTTATGTCGTAAAATAGTTAATTGTCATAATTGTATACCGAATGTTGATAGATTAATAAAACTGCTTGATGGATGAACACGCTTTCTCATTGCGTCTCATCAACGATATTCGTTTTATGAATTCGAACCGAATTTCATTTGATTCCATCAAAAAATCTAGTTTTTAGAGCGTTTACAAGCAAATGTTGACGCGCGGACGGACGGACCGACGGACCGATCGACGGACCGACGGACGGACAGACAGGGGTGCCGACAATATACGTCCACATAGAGATATGGGCGTATAAAAATAGATTTAATGTAAAACTGATGCCTATAATTTTCTCTATAGAAACTATTCAACTTACTGGTGTAGGTAACTGCAAATGTAATAAGAAATACAAGGGTTGTTATTGTAGCTAGTACACTAAAGACAATCAGTGATTTTTCTAAAGTCGTTCTCCCTCTCAGTTTCAACATCCTGATTTCT